GTGATGTCTCGTTCAGATCAGATACAAGCAGAACCATTGAACTTAAAGACCATGCTCGAATCTGACATGGGGTAAGGCAAGGTGTAGCAGGGAGAAAGTCTAAACAGTGGAAACTCCTCAAGCAGGATAAAAGGACTGAGGTGACAAAGAATGGACTCACAGAAGGAATGGGGGACGCCTGGGGCAGGGAGGGGAAGAAATGAGCACATTTTTGCAGCAGTGGGCAGCGGCTTGGTTGAGCTGTGAAACCAACCAAGATCAGCAGCCAGCTGAGCTGAAGAGATGCTATGGTTTCAAAGCAAGCCACGGCAGAAGAAGTATCTTGGATCAGCCTAGACAATCTGACTCCAGCGTAGGATGGGGAAGTAACCAGTGCAGGGAAGGGTGCCAGGGAATATTATTTAGTGTTGTTTATTCATCAGCATGAGAAATATAGCAATACAGAGCAGAACCCCTGTGCCAAACCCATCTGGGCGTGTGCTACACATAGTACACATCCCCGAAGGGTTGCCCTCGAATGCCCACACATCTGGAGTCCTGGAAGAGGGTGTGCTTAAGGCGTGCGGGAGTGTAAGATCAGCATCTAGGTCGCAAGGACAGGAGATGGACCACAGGTCCCAGCTGGCAGGGTGGGGTGTTAGACAGATGCTTTGTGCTCTGGGAATGTGCCTGAGGACCCCCTCAGGAGCAGCACCTGCATGCTGTGCAAACTCCAGAGGTTCAAATCCAATCCAGTCCAGTCCAGAGGACTGAGGCAGAGCACAGCAGTGGTGTTGACGGGGGTCTGGACAAAAGAGGGGTCCCAGCTCGGTCTGTGACACCCAACAGTGCTAGTGCCCAGATACCAGCCCTCAACATTTGAATAGTATAAAAGCCTAGGTCTGTCTGTCTGTCCATAACACTTTCTTCCACTCTGATTGGCTCCGAGCCCACTTCTCCCATTCCCCACCGCTGCCGGGTCGGCCCGGGCCTGCTGCTCCCTCTACCGTGGTGAGCCGGCTTCTGCCCACCCTCAGGCCCAGTCCTCCCCAACATCAGGCCGGAGCCCCCTCCTCCCCTCCCCACACTGCTGCACTGGGGGGTGGGGAGTGGGCCTGGACCCCAAGCAGCAGGAGGTAAAGGGGGAGTGGGCCTGGACGGAGGGGACACGGGGCACGGGGCCCTCCGCTGTCATTCCTGGCGGACAATTAGCTAGTGCAGGAATAAAAGCAAAGCTTCGTACCAGAGGAGGAAAGAAAAGCGCAAATGAAGTTAAATCTAAAGGGGACACATACTGCTAAACTAGCTGCTATGAAAAGTGTGACTTTGGTGGGTTATAGGCTCAGCAGCAGGGAAGGAGGATGGGACATGAAGTACTCGAATCAGCAGTGGCGCGGTGCAAAATTCAAGGAATCTCCCTGCAAACACGTCCCTCACGTCTCAGCCGAGTGGGCGGTGCCCCTGCCAGTAGCACTCACCTTTCATGTGATCCCAATTCAGTGCAGCCAGCACCTGAGTCACTCTGCACCAGAGCAGCACCGGTCTTGTCCTGTTTCCCACGAACTCTGAACACATCAGGGGAGCTGTCCCTGCCTGAGTTTTAGGGCGGACATGCTGCTTCTCCTTGGTGTTTCCAAGCCCTGCGGGTTGCATTCTGTGAAAGGTTTCCTTGTCCAGCTATATGCTCACTAAGTACAAGCTCAGCTTGTTCCCATGTAAGCACGCTGGTGGGTTATTTACCTTCCACCCCGCTTGGAAAGGAATATCTCTCATTATCATGCAAGTGGAGAGAGGGGGCAGGGGTCTGGAGATGCAGAAAAAAACTCCCAAAGCAGAGAAAACTACCTTCCCCAACCTGCGTGCACTGGATGCAAGTGCTGAACGTGCCTCACCTCAGAGGATCTCAGCACACTTCACACAAGGGTGTTAATCTGGAACTGTAGGTGGGGAAACTGAGGCACATTGCAGCTAAGGGACTTGCCGAAGGACGGAGGGCAGAGGAAGGACAACAGTTGATCTGTGCTGCTTCTGCAGGGAGTCTGCCCGCTCCTGCTCCTGCTCCACAGGTGCCCCCCGGCAATGAGGGAGCGACCCTGCTAGGACGGGACGCCCTCAAGGGCTCTGCAGGCAGGCAGCTGAGAGCAGCAGCAGGGGGTGCTCTCAGAGCCTTTTTACAGCCCCATTTCCAGGTCTGGCACGCGTAACGGAAGTGGGAGCAGTGGGCAGAGCAGGCTGGAGAGCAGCACTCCTGGCAGCGCAGTGGGAGCAGTGCAGACACCCCCCATCCAGGTTCACTGACTCTCAACGACTCTGTAGCACCAGTAGGGAGTGAGGGCATTTTGCACTGAGATGGGGTGTGCAAAACCACCCAAACGAGGCACCGTGCAGCTGGCCTACTGCGGCACCACACACTCACTAATACACCCAGCCCTGCACTAAGCTGGAGGACCTACTTCCCATTGGGGCAGCAGTATGGGCCCAGCAAGCATAGCACATCTCAGCTCGCAGCTCTCTAACACTATGCTGGGGTGGTCTAGATGTGCCCTCTCTCACCTGCTCCAACCACCGGAGCCATGTGCTGCCTCCTATAAGGGCGCTCTGTATCCCCAGGGTCCTTCAGCCCCTCTGTAATGGCAGAGCTGGGGAGGGTCATGGTGGGCAGCAATCTGGGAAGGAAAGCCACAACCCTGAGACACTGGCAAGCTTTGCTGCTTTGATCACATCAGCCCGTAGCTGCTCCAGCCAACGTGTGAGTACCTGTTTCAGGGTGTTTGCTTGACTTGTACAGCAGTGAGATTAGTTACTTGAAAAAGAGGCAAACATCAGCCTGCCTAAGTACGGATAGCTCGGCTTGGTGCATACACTTAGTTAATGGGTATGCCTTGGGGTTTTCACGGCCCCTCGTGGAGGGTGATCTCACAGGTCATGTGCCACTGTCAAAGAGATTTCTCTCTTAGACTCTTGCAGCTCCGAAGCTGGATTTTCCTCTCACGCTGCTTTTGCATCAGGCTCGTTCCACCATCTCCGATGGGGTCCCCCGGGATTCACACCTGTGTAACAGAAAGGAGAAACGCATCTAGCTTCAGAAGTCATCTGTGGCTGATTCCACTAAACCCCTTAGATTATCTTTCGTATGAAAGTTTGTTCCAGCAGTTAATCACCCTCCCTGCTGGAAAGGCGTGCCTTATTTTCAGTGTGAATTCGTCTGGCTTCAGCCTCCAGCCATTTGTTCTTTGCTAGATTAAAGAACCCTGTAATACCCTGTTAAGGTATTTGCAGTCTGTAATCAAGTCACTTCTCAAACTTCTTTGTGACAAGCTAAACAAATGGAGCTCTTTAAGCCCCTCACTGGAAGGCAGTTCTTCCAGCAGCTGAATGATTTGTTTGCACTCTCTCCAATTTCTCAAAAACCTTTTTAAAATGCAGACACTAGAAATGGACACAGCATTGGGCTCACCAGTGCCAGGCACACAGGTGAAATAATGTCCCTGGTCCTAGCTCCCCCATTCATGCACCCAAGGATTATACTTTTTTTTTGCAGCTTTGCATTAAAAGATCATATTCAGCTTCTATCAGGTTCTCCACCGTGGGAAGAAACACCCACAGCATGCTTATAGGCTCGAAAGTGCTACACTGGCTAGCACTACAGATGAAAGGGACTTGGGGGTCATGATTGACCACAAGATGAATATGAGCCTGCAATGCGATGCTGCGGCTAGTAAAGTGACCAAAAAGCTGGCTTGCATCCATAGATGCTTCTCAAGCAAATCCAGGGACGTCATTCTCCCCTTGTACTCGGCCTTGGTGAGTCTGCAGCTGGAGTACTGTGCCCAGTTTTGGGGTCCACAATTTGAAAAGGATGTGGAGAAGCATGAGAGAGTCCAGAGGAGAGTCACGCGCATGATGAGAGGGCAGGAGAATAGGCCTTATGATGACAGGCTGAGAGCCATGGGGCTTTTTACCCTGGAAAAGCACAGGCTCAGGGGTGATCTGATGGACACCTATAAGTTTATCAGGGGTGACCACCGGGATCTGGGGGAATGTTTGTTCACCAGAGCGCCCCAAGGGATGACGAGGCTGACTGGTCACAAACTCCTCCGTGACCATTTCAGGCTGGACATAAGGAAGAATTTCTTCACTGTCCGAGCCCTCAAGGTTGGAATAGGCTGCTGCTAGAGGTGGTTCAAGCACCTACTTTGAATGCCTTCAAGAGACATTTGGACATTTATCTTGCTGGGATCCTTTGACCCCAGCTGACTTCCTGCCCCTGGGGTGGGAGGCTGGACTCAAAGATCTTCCAAGGTCCCTTCCAGCCCAGATGTCTATGACATGTAAGCTGCTTGTCATCGTTGACCCATGCATGTTTTTCACTGCTTGTGTTAGGGCCACTATCCTGGAGATATGGAACAGGGGATGGCTGAAATTGGGAATATGAGCAGCTGCAGCTTGAGCTGAAGACTGGAAGTGAGGGCTGTAATATCACATGCGAACTGAGCCAAGAGAGGCACACATGAGTTACATTTGGAAGTTTACTGAATATCACTAGTCTGTTTGGCTTCTGCTCTCACATGACTGAGGTGGATGACTAACACGTAGTAGTAACACCAGTTTGTTGGCTCATATTTTATAGTGATGAATATTCATCAACTATTCTCCTCAGAGGCCTCTGCTTGTCAATTTTCATAGGGAATTATGGGAAAGTTCATATGATCTGCCCGTTAAATGCAGAATAAAAGAAGTGCTGTGTAATTTCACAACCTCCTACAAACTTCCCCTTGATTTTCCCTTGATTTTATGCTAGGGAGCGCTCTAAGTGCTTTCAATCGTTTTGGGTGCATCTATACAAGACGCATTAATGTACCTTAGGCTAAGTTGATGCACATTATGGGCACATGTCTACATGTGCAAGCCCTTAATCCACATTAATTTAGGCATATCACACCTAAATTTGATACTTGCAAATGTAGGTATCAAATTTAGGTGTGATTAGTTGATGTGCATTAATGCATGTGTAGGCACAAACTGGCACTAACTTTAGTGCCAGGTCTGCCCTGCCAGTAGGGGGCTGGACTGAGCCCAGCCTCAAGGAATATCCATGGGCTAAGGTGCTGGGCACCTACCCTGAGGCCATGCCCCCTATCCCCCCCCCCTCACAGCCCCCCACTCTGGGCTTGAAGACCCAAAATATTGTAAATAGTTTCCTCCTTTTATATAGTTTCCCACCTGTAAGCCAATTTTTATTGTTGGTGGGTGGGGAGGGTGATGGAGGGGCCCTGTTAGTTGAGGGGGGAGGTGGTTCTGTTTGTTGAAGGGGGAGAGGGGAGGGATGGGGGTGGGTGTTTTGAATAATAAGGTTTTTTGTTTCACCCATGTGCATGTTCTGAGAGTGGTGCTGGGGGTGGGTGGGGGATGAGGGGTGGGCAGCAGTGCAGGTGGGCTGGAGTAGGGAGAGCAAGAGTTTGGGGTTGGGCAGGGTCTCTCACAGGCAGTTCCCTGTCCCCCACTGGTGGGTGCACAGTTGTCCTGGGGCCTACGGAGGGGGCCTGCTGGGCCCAACAGGGCCAGCACCATGGCATGGGGTGCTCATCGTTACTGGCAGGAGCAGGGGCAGGGGCAGGGGCTGGAGCACCTCTGGCATGGGGAGGCA